CAATATGCGTTTTTGCTGGCTGTAGCAGCGCTATAGCGCTGCACAGCAAAAACGCATAAAAAACCCTCACACCTGTGAGCTGTATTTGAAATCATTAAATTGTACTTGGGAGAATATCCCTCAAAATTTCAGTCTTCCACCTTTTTTGCTTCGCGAGTTGGCGATTTTCCTGCCAAAACTTCCACGTGCTCGTATGCAGGGCTCAGAAGTACACAAAAATTATTACCACGATCCGGGGGTAGCATTTGGCCGGGAACCAAGTGGCAAAGTTTCAGCGCCGAAGCTTGCTTGGTTGCCTTGTTTAAATACTCGGACAGACGCACACACCAATATACGCACACAAAGACACACACATAAGCACAAACACTCATGCACATCATGAGTCGACACAATACGCGCTTTTGCATTGGCACATATGCAAACCTAGTCGAAAGCGTACCGGCTGGCGGTACGAGGATGCGTTTTTTGCACAGTTCCCCCGCAGGTTTTTTTCGCCAGTGGCACGCTCTTCCCGGCAGATGCTTCTAGCTAAAAAAGTTGTGACTGGCCATCACGACTGTTAGAAGCTATTACAATGACTCCTAATCCATACCCATAAAATTCAGCGCTCAGGATGCTTCGGTTGCGGAGTTACGCCAAATTTCACGTGTTCGTACGTGAGTGGCAACGTGAGTGCTTTCTTCGCCCGCAGTTGGTCAAACACAATCCTGGGTAGTGCTCAGAAAGTTTCAGCACTCCAGCTGCTCTGAGTGCGGAGTTACGTCAAATTTTACGCATATACACGTGAAACATACGTGAGACGTGAAAGTGATGTGTAAGTCGTTTTTGCGTGCATCTGGTCAAAGGCCACCATCGGTTATGCTCAGAAAGTTCAGGGCCTCTGGCTGGTTCAATTTTAAAGTTACAAAAGCGCATGCGTGAAATTTTCACGTGTTCGTACATGAGATGCAGAAGAGCTGACAAGTAATTTACTTTCGCGGGCCCAACAGTAGGCGACAAGTAACGCTACAGAATTGCAGCTCTCTGGAGCTTATTGATCACCTTAAATCTGGAGTTGGCATGATGCCGGTTTAAACTTTGACGTGTGCGTACGCGAGTCCTGGGGGTGCGTGAAGGCCGAATTTGAAATCTTTGGATAAGACGCAGCCAAGGAATAACTCTGTGAAGTTCCAGCCTTCTAGCATGGGCTGTTCCCGAAAGCGGTTTTCCGCCAAAAAAAAATTTCACGTGCCTCTACGTGAGAACCATGCAGACCTGAGCGCCCACTTTGAGGATACGAGCCTGCAGTTTGTGTAGAATAAGTCACCAAATTTTCAGCTTTGTAGCTTTTGTGGATCTCGAGATGAAAACTCGTTACAGACGCA